CCTTCGTGAACTTAGATATGTTAATTTGTTATCTAAACACAAAAAGAAAATAATATTTTATTATTGTAATATAAAATGAGAGGCCATAAAAGGACAGCCGTTCCTCTTGGCCAAAACTCCTGGAAGTTAAATTTAGCAGAAAAAGGAATAGTTTTTTCATCTCAATAGGAAATAATGTGTGGATGGATGATTCTCTTGGTCACGTGTGTTAATTAATTAAACATAGGCTTCATGTCATTCACATATTCATTGATTTAGATGTGTACTGTTACATATCTATATCATCTTTATTCGTAGTAATTACCAGAATTCAGCATCCGTATCAAAGAGGCTTCTACTTTATTTAATTCCTATCTTTCACGCAACTAACTTCAAATGCTTTTTGGAGTTCACTCTCGTGAAATGGAAGTTCATCGATGTGGAGGAAATTAACTTCTCATACATCTCTTCCTTCTTCTTCTTCTTCCTTTTTCGTCTAAATAACTTTACCCCAAAAGAAGAAAGCCGAAGCAGGTATATACGTATGGTTTCACTATGCTACCATGTGAATACTCTACAACTTGTTGCTGCTAGCTTTGTATTGGACCACATCTCATCGATTTATTGCTAAAAGGAACAGCTTTTCAGAAATGGAAACAACCTTATTCACAAACATTTCCCTATGCACCTTCTCACATTCACGTATAAGCTCAACACAACATTGTGCTTTTGCTCCTCATTATGTCAAACTTTATTTTAAGATCCATTGAATCAAACCAGTTGCATGCATTCGATTTTTCTTTACGTTCTATTTATCTTACGCTCAAGAGTTGCATCACACCTTCATTTTCTTTTCATTTTTTTAATTAAAAAATTAACTTTTTTTAATGTATAATATGACCGTCTTGCCAGAGGAAGACCGGATGGTATTATCAGTCTAGAATTCAAGACGAACCGACCGGTTAACCAATCGGTCAGGTAAAAAAGAAGATTAATACTAAAGAATAATTACGTTAAAGTTAAGTAAGACTATTACTAGTTAGACTGTTATTAGGTCGATATTAATATAAATATAAATTGTTTATATTTATTATGCATTTATTGCTAATACCATCGGATTTCTACTGAATTTGACATGAGAGTGTCTTCTAGAAGTAATTTCCCAGTTTGACCTAACAGTGAAAAACGTGAAGCGAAGAAAAAATCTTAACATATTCTTGGAGTCGAAAAGGTAAAAAAAAAAGTTAACTCTGAAGGTTAAATATCATTTCATTTTATTAATTAACAGTGAAGGTTAAAGATCATTTCATTTTATTTTATTAATTAATAAATAGTGAGAAACAAAGTGAAAACCTGAAGCAAGTATGTATATATTGTGAGTAACTACTTATTAAAAGATAAAATTGAAAAAAAAATATATAAAAAAAAGTGTGAATTCCTCGTATAATAATATCCATAGTGATTGAATTTGTTAAATTTACCCTAAGAGTAAATGTCAAGATTTATTCTTAGTTGGCTTGATATATAGCATGACTCTCCTTTAATAACTTTTAACAAAAACAAAATCTATTTAACCATTAGATTAAATTAAACTCATTATAAAGATTTATATAATTTTAAAAAATCATTTCACGGCATTAGATTAAAATGCGAAATTAAAATGTGAAATTAAAACCCATGTAAAAGAAACTCAAAAATATTAATGCAAAATATTAATGAACATGAAATCCTCTTCCACTCAAAATGGGATGGAGATTGAATAATTTGCAGTCCTTTTCTCTCAAAGAAAGCATGCATGCATGCAGCACGTGTCACGGAACCTCTTTTTTTAAGACACAACAACCAAGCACGGAAGCACAGTATACTAAGTAGCGAAACATACATAGATAACAACAAAAGAAGGACACGAATCATTGAGATTAGATATACATTTATTTCAATTTTCCAAAAGCTACACAACCCATTGCCTTTGTCATTAAATTTTTCCAGAAAAATGTAGCAGGTTCACGATCATGGAAAACTGACACTTCAGTTTCTCAGATCCACCCATCTTCAAGTACAACTATTATAAATAGGATTGCTCCTTCCTTCTTCAAGCTTTTCCATATACTGCATTGTTGTTTCGAATACAACACTCTTAAACACAGACCCCATTTTGCAAGATTAAACTTTTCTGATATATATATATATTCTTTTTCGTTCTCCATCCACCATGGCACCCCATGGAGAGTCTCTGGCTAGCTCTTTCTCTAGGAAAAGCAACATGTCAAAGCCACCAAAGCTTACATCAGAGAACCTTCAACGAACGGTCTCAGACATCTCTTTTGAGCTGAGCAAAGAAGAGATCGATGAGTTGAAGCTGCCGGCAATATCCGAGGTTGAGAATGCCAAGTGTGAGTGCTGTGGGATGTGTGAGGAGTGCACACCGGAGTACATCGACCGTGTGCGTGAGAAGTTCAACGGGAAGTGGGTGTGCGGGTTGTGTGCAGAGGCAGTGAAAGAAGAGTTGGAGAAAAATGGCGGAGAAAAGGAAGAAGCTTTGACTGCACACATGAGTGCTTGTGTTAGGTTCAACAAATATGGTAGGGCTTTCCCTGTTCTGTTCCAAGCTCAGGCCATGAAAGAGATGCTCAAAAAGAACACCATAGATGGTAGAAGGGCTAAGTCCATTAGCCCTAGGGACAAAGGAGGCCCTAAGAAAGGAGGAATTGCACGTAGTTCCAGTTGCATTCCGGCACTTACAAGAGAGATCAATGATATCAAAATAGCCAATTAATATTAGTAAACTTATCATTCCAACCACATCACACAACACCCAAGTTAATCATTTCAGACATAAAGTATGTCTGCTGACAAAATATGTCTGATATATCTTATGTCTGAAATCATGATTCGATCCAAAACTACTCAGTGTTACATATAGAAAAGTTTACCTACTATTACCCTTTGAGTTCTCTCTTGGTATGATTAATCTCTTTGTTAGTAGTAGAAGCCTTTTTTTTCGTGTGTTAGTGTATAATTTTACTGGTGCAAAGGACATGGTTTTTATCTTTGGCTGACAACAAATGCTAGGGCTTCCATTGAATCTACTGTAAGTATTAAGAACTCCATACACATCTCTCGTTCATCTGGTTTGCGAATGCTTCCATTGCTATCTTTCAGGACAAAGAATGACCTTGTTATGTCGAAGAACACCGAAGTTTACTTCTGAGGTTTTTTTTGGTTTGTTTGTAACCTTTCACTCCTTCTTCAAGGGTCGTTTCTTCTGAGATTTGTTTGCATTTCCTTAACTAGATAGGGTTCTTCATTCTGTTTTTCTTCAGTGGTTTTCTGTGACCTTGTCAGATGTACTCTCTACTTGTTATTAATCATAATAAAGTGCAATAAATTTTACCTCATGCTCTGAGTTTTATCAATAGAATCATCATCTTCATCACTGAAAAACTGATGAACTACATATTTTTAATTTTTCAATATTAAAATACTATTTAATTTCATATCATGTACTAATATTAAGATTTATTTGGTCGAATAGCACCTAAAAATATACATAGATATAGTACCAGAAGATTCTCAATTCCACTACATAGTTCAAACTGAAGTTATAGTCAGTAGTTCCAAAAATAATTCAAAGAGGTGCATAGCTTGAAAAACTAACAAACTTATACCTAATAATAATTATAGTAGTGTTTAAAATAACATTAATTAAAATAATTATAATTTTGTGGAAAGTTTATCTTTCAATTTTGTTAAAGAAGCAAATATATCTCTTTAAATAGTTATAATCCAATTTCTTTTAAAAAATCAATTAATATATTAAAGTCAATCCCTTGAATTAAATTTAATTTTTTTACATATAAATAGATTATGATTTTTTTTATAATCATAGTATTTATATGAGTTATATATGGCTGAAATAAAAAACTGCCATCCTCTTATAAAGTGTTTTAAAAGCAAAGCAAAAATACGAAAGCAAAAGCAAAATCAAAAGAAAAATAATGTAAACTTGTATTGCCTTCTGCATAAAACTGATAAATTGAGATCTTTTTTTAGCTCGTGACATGACAGAACATACCTAAAAGTGGTTTAAAAAATAGCAGAAAAATAGACATAAATGTTATTTTTAAATAAATTAAAATTACGGTTTTATTCTCGTTTTTTACACGGATTAAATTGTTTTATGCATGGGCAGTTGAATTGTATTTTTCTTCTAATTCTTACAAAGGAAAATGCATGAAGAATTAATACGTGTATATTAGATATAATAACAATAATCTATTAAATTATTAACTAGTTGCAGTTAATAAACATTACATTATAAAAACCATTAAATGCATTTACGACATTAATTATTTGTATGTTTGTAAAGAAAGTATTCTAATTAATTATGAAATTAAAATAACTTTTTATAACAAAAGTTTCATGTCAATGACTTTATCAGTTTCTACTAGAGCCAAAAACCACACGTTTTCAAACGCACGTGAGAAATCTGCGCAATCTCATTGGACGTTCAACTCACTTACCTTAAGGAAACCCTCCTCCACCAATCATGGTGGGTCAAAAGGAAAACACCATAAAAACTAAAATTAAATAATACTCCTTCCATACCTAAAATATGAAATTTGAATTTTCTGCTCAATTTTGTTTTACTATTTTTTCATTATATCTTTAAAATACACTCATTTACATTAATTTTGATACTTTAAAATACATTAAAAGTCTTTTTAATATAACAAAAAATAGTATATTTTGAAGATTGTCAGCTCTCATTAAAAACACACCAAAACTCCTCACACCAAAACTCCTCTGAACGGACGTCAGATGTCAAGCAACGAGAATTAGAAATCAAATAGTGGAATGCAGGTGTCAGCAGAGGTGCGGACGTTCGATTTTAACAAAATTGATTTTTTCTGAAATATTTTTCAAGTGCAAAACCAAAATATTCACTTTTGTTCTAGGGTAGGTTGATTCTAGTGCAAAACCAAAATATTTTTCTTCCTCCTTTTCCCACCACCATATATATATGCCTCCTTCTCCATCTTTCTCTTCACCCCATTCCTTCTTCTTTCTAGAGATTCTCATTCAGAAATATCTCTCTCTCTCTCTCTCTCTCCCTCTCCCTCGAAAATTCATAATATCTTAAAACAAAAATAGAAATGGAAAACAATTCAGCTGTGATTGCAAAGAGAGTGTGGAACATAATACGTGTTGCATTCTTCATGTTGAGAAAAAGCATATCAAAGGGCAAGCTAATGATGCACCTTAACGTCATGCTCAAACGCCGCAGCAAACTCGCCGGCAAAGCCATCACCAACCTCATGTTCCACCACCACAACCACAATGTCGGAGTCCCCGGCAACGACCTCCAGTTCTCAGCCGCCAGGGAGTACGAGTTCAGCTGCAGCAACACTCCCAACAACTTCTTTGCCACCAAGCGCCACCGCCACAACCCTTTCTTCACGTGCGCTCACGCGCCGCCCACCTTCGAGGGCGACGCCGTGACCGTTAGTGTCGTTAAGGGCGTGTTGGAGATGCTGAACAATGAGGCGGTGGTGGAGGCGCCCCCGGCCGCCGCTTTTCATAGCCCTGTGGTGAGGCAGCTTAGGGTTACAGACTCTCCGTTCCCACTTCGTGAGTACGAGGACGACAAGGACGACCACGTTGACAAGGCGGCGGAAGAGTTCATAAAGAGGTTTTACAAGGAATTGAAGAAGCAAACTTGAGTTTCTTACTGCACAAACAACGTTACGAACGTAATTAATTAAGCTAATGAGCAGTTTTGGAAGTATTTCTTTGATGATAATGAGTGTGGATTAGGAGAAGGATGCATTTTAGTTATTTGCATTCAAGAATTTTGTATGTCTACTACTAGTTTTTTTTTTATATATATGAACAATAAAAACTTAATGATTAGTGAATCTAATTAACTCGATTACGTCTCTTGAATTTTATATTTTTTGTTTAATTATGCCTCCAAGTTTTTGAAGATTGAAAAAACAAATTTTGAACGTGTCTAATTAATGGAGCATGTGTTTGATATAAGTAATTGAAATAATATATATCCATATAACAATCTGGGGAATGATTAAGGGAATCTTCCCTATAGAAGTGTACAAGTGTTGTACTGAAAAATGTTGAATCTTGCCATTTAGAAAACGATAATGTCTCGTTTGTTTGGATCTTGTTCTGTATCTGCTTTTGGAGCTTTCATTAATGGAAGATCTTTCAGAGTTAAAATAGTTTATAAGTTATAATAGATTGAATAAACATTTGATTTGTGTGTGATTTGGTTTAAAGTTAAATTGGGTTTGACAGCAAGAACAGCACTACATTGTCTTCATGCAATGTCAAAGTGAAACCATAGCTGTCTCCCTCTCCAAAATAGTGCTAGCTTTCACAACTTTTTTCCTTCTTTTGCTCCCTCTTTTGCTTTTGCTTTTCTCATTTAACCACTTTTTTAAGTTTTATACATATATATAACATATACCATACCACTTTATTACTTCTTTATTGAGTTGGTTTATTGTGAAAAGAAGATTTCAAAGCCTCCACCCAACTTTTCTCATTAGTAACAATATTTCCACTTATACCCATATTAGTACAATTAAAAGGGACTAAAATTAATATTTGATTTAGTTAATTTGTAACCTTTGTTAATTTCTTTTATATTCTTCTAATGTGTTTTTGAAATACAGACTCATTTTGATATAGTTTAAAACATATTAAAAATTATGAATATAAAAGTGAGTTAATCCGTGTGAACCGACTTAATTAACCCTAAATTCAGTTAAATATGAATCAATTCAACTTAACTTATTTTTATGAATAATAAATTTTGTAATTCAGTTTGATATATTATAAGTTGGTAGATTAATGGATTGACTTACTTTAAGATGTTTTATTCTTTTTAATTATTTTATATATTTAATGATACAAGGTGAATTTATTTTTTATGTTGGTATAATCAAAATGTTTACTTATTTCACTAAATATTATTATAAATATAGTAATTGAAAATTAAATATTATCAACCTAGGTTGACAAACAAACAAATCAAGCATTCAAATTATTGAAATTGAACAACATGTTACCTAGAAAGACAAAATTGTCAATCTACATAATTAAAAATGATAATAAAAGAAATTACTAATATAGAATTTTTGTTAGTAATTGCTATTAATATATTTTAATCCAACTTAAATTCGTTTAACCTGAAAATTAAGTAGATTTTGTTTGGTTTAACTCACATTTAAAAAAATTAAACCTTTTTTAATCTAATCTCGTTTAAACCCATAACAAGTTGGATTAACACACGACTCTCTGAACGTATTTTTATATATTTATTAAAACATTTATAATATATCAAAATTCAATATATTTTAAAATCATGATATAGAAGGTAGGAAAAAAAAAATCTAAACTCGATTTAGTACTACAACTTTAAGTAAATAGATCCTTTTAAATAGCTTGTGTAATGGAATCAAGGGAAAATTATATATTTGCCAAGTAGATGTGAAATGGTTGGGTTGTGCTCGTGTATAATATATGTATATGGTTAATTTATCAAAATTCAATTTTTAATTTTAGTTCATAAATAAATTTGTTTTTAATTTTACTTCTTTTAAATAGTTGTGGAGAAATTTTTTGAGATAAAAGTTGGCATAAAACAATGTACGGAGAAACTTTGGTAGAATTGTCAAATACAGAAATATCATTCATACGTTAATTACCGATTATATATATTTTTTCTTTATTTGTATTAAATGCATGAGAATATAAAAGAAAAAAAAATTCCTTCGTATAAAAAGTAAATGAAAATGGAAAACGCCAATAATAAAATCAATTTCACTATTTTTGAAGTACGTAAATAGGAAACATGTATCGCTTTCTGAACGATTTTTCCTTTGACTTTTGCTACACAATAAATCAAATCATGTTTCAATTATGCTACCAAATCATTTGCATTTCCATGACTTTCTTAGTTTTCAACTTTATAAACTGTGCACTTTAGCTTTAAAAAATATAGTATGTATGTTATATAATTTTATATTCTCATTAACTCAAAAACTAGCATATATATATTAATTTATATATTTTTTGTATCAATTAATATTATAAAATATGTTGATATTACACACGAAAAATGCCAAAGTCGTAATTAGTATCACTGAGAACCTAATGAATATAACCTATAAAAATAGACTTAATAATAAGAGTCAAAGAAGAAACACGAAGTTTGCATATATTTTTTTCTATTATGTTACGTTTTTAGTTTGTTTAGTTCAAGACTAATCCGGTATTGTTTATAATGATCTTGTATTATCAGTTTGATCAATTTTTACATAAAATGAAAAAAATAAAAAGTAAATTTGCTACATGTATATAAAAAGACTTTAATTTGATTATTAATTAGTATATAGCTTGCTAGTATGTCTACAAAAAATGTATTTACAAAATTCATATTGATTCAAAATTACTTTATAGTTTATTTATAATATGAGAATGATTTTTTTATATGATAATAAAATATGAGAATATAAAATAATAATTTAATATAAAATAATAATTTATATATGCCCGTTTGACTTGTTATTTGAATCGTGAGGTTCCCCTTTATTAGAAAAGTGGGGAAAAAAAAGCATGAGATGACATTAAAATTGACGAGTATATAAAATTCCACATGACGAAAAACGAAACATCCAATTTCTCCTTAAAAGCTTAAGGCAGACATGCTTTATTCATTTCATCACCTTTCTTAAAAGCTCACTCCTCTTCGACTTTTGCTTCTCAAAAAGATTGTGAGTGGAAAGACGCATGCAAAGACTATGAGACTAAATTACATATTTAATGGAGATTGAAAAATTGACCATAATGAAAAAAAAAATATGATTATTGTTTTAAGATTTTAGGAAAAAAGTGATTTTAATTTATTATTTTACAAAAGAAAGTTATTGACAATTAATGTTTGTTGAAAGCTACAAAAATTTATCAATAGATATTGTTTTTAATATTTTGTCAATGGACAAAAATTCTTCAATAAATATTATGATAAATTTCATTAACAAATATTTATCATCGATAATTATTGACGGATATATTTTTTATAATTATCAACCGGTATATTTTTGATGATTACTAATATTTTTTTGTTAATTATTAAGAAGTGATATTTGTCACTAGTAACACAAGACCAGGTAATACAAATTGAAAAGTTTCTTTAACTCAATCTCAAATTTAAAAGTTATTTTTTCTTTAATGTAACATTTCCTCAACTTCCAACACTGTCGAAAAACCTATCGCGTAGCTCGAAGAAAAAGGACCTTTTTGTAATAATATTATATTAACTGCAAAAAAAAAAATCATAAAAAAATAATAACACAAGGTCGAGCTTAAAATAAATAGGATCGAGTTTACTAACAAATTTTACCAACAAAATAAATTTGTTGATAAATTCGTTAATTTAAAAAAAAAATTGTAATATTACGTGAGTTAGGTTCATGTGTTATTATTGTGTTATATATATTTCAGATGTAAAAATAAGAAAATTAAACATCATAAAAAAAACTCATTTGTTCATGTTTCATTATTGCTATATTTTTTTTTTTTACTTTTCTAAATATCCATTATATATGCATAACAAAGTATACGAACATCTCTATTTTTTTTTACCCTCACATCAACTACTTCATTTGTTGTACTCCTTCTAAAAATAATAAAATAAGAAGAAGGAAAGTACATTTTTAATAAAGATAAAAAAATTGAGTATAATGTAAAATAAAATTTATATAATTATTATTTTAAAAAAATTTAAGTTAAAAGTAAGTTTTAAATATATGTAAATTAGATTCATGACTCATTATTGTGATATATATATATTATGTAGAAATGAAAAAGCTAAATTTTATAATAAATAAGATTTATGTGTTCATGTTTTATTATTGTTTTATAATAGAAAAGTATATTCAAATTCTGTAAGAAGTATCTAATAATAGTATTACGATTCTAAAGACACATCTGAATTTATTCATAAAATTGTATTGTCTTATTTTAGTGATACATGATATGAATAAAAAAATGGAGGTGAGATTTACATTAAAAAATTGAAATACGTATATAATAAAATATCTATTCAAATTAAATAATAGAATGATATTTTGACACATAATTTTTTTTACATGACATTATCTTTTTTATTTTTTTTTTAATTACAAAAATTCATTCTTTTGAGACCATTTTACCTTTGATATCTCATACTATTCTTACTCTGTGTTTTAATGAGTTATGATACCCTTATAATTAATATAATATATTAAAGAATTTAGGTAGAATTAAATTTATAATTAATATATATTTCTTTGGAAACATATACGATTTTATGATAATTGTATATATATATATATATAAAGGCAGTAGGAAGTGGTTGAGAAATATCTTTGAAGGTGGTAATGGAGAAGGTGGGTTTGAAAAAAATGTGGGCAGAATAAAGAAGGAAAAACACATTTGCTTTGATGCTAAGTTTTCTCCTTTCCAAACCAAACACAAAAATGTCTGCGCGTCTTCTTCGACCTTTTACGATATTCAAATCCATCCATCACAAACATATTTACCATGTGACACATTTTATTCACTATATTATAAATCTACAACAAAATTTCCTTAATTTTCATTTTATACAACAATTTTCAAATAATATTCATTATAATTCCAAGTCCAACATCATTAAAATTAATAACCATACTTTTCAATCCATTTTAAAACATAAAACTTTCTTACGATTTCTTCTTAAAATACATATAAAAAAATCCAAAAAATATGTTTCGACTTCTAAATCATGTAAATTTATTGAATGTGATAAGAATAATGTTAATTATTTTTTTCTCTTAATTTTACTTTTAAGTTTAGTTGGTTTTA